GGAACCTTGAAACCTATAAATGGATAGTTGACATGGCCGGCACATGCAGTTACCCAGGGTGAATGTTATAATCGCTTTAGCTATGAGTCTATTTTCCCGCTTTTTATCGGAAAGCCGTAGTTTATAAGTGGTAAGAGGGGTTTCGATTCTTTAAACCCTAAAAGGTGCTATTACCTGCACCAGTGGATCTCTTAGTGTAGTAATTTGAATGGGTAAAGTGATCCGCAACCGACTGGATCTTCTCGTTTTCTCACTTGCAGGATAAATAAAGAGAGTTACCGAGTCGTCGCGCGATTCCTCACCCTAAATAGGGATAAAGCATCCAAAAACAAGGCATAGAAGGAATAAAACAAAAGTTGCGAACCCACTCCATGCCTATAAATCAGTTTTGTTTCAGATTGAAAATCTGACCAGGTCAACTGGCTAGCAACACCATCGAGAAATTCTAGCACACCATGCCGCGGCGGTGTAGAAACTTCCAGAATAAGGTTCTAAACCAAAAAAGTTATCGCATTCAATCCTTTTCTCCTACTGCAAAGGCGATAAGTTTACCTCATCCGATGCGGCCGAAGCCAGACCACTGGCTTCAAGGTGAGTAGCTGTCAAAGCTACAGATCCGCCTAAATGTGGAATTTGTAAAGCTAAAGTCACAGCAACCTTTCTGACCATTCAAATCAAACCTTTAGATGTTTTTAGTGGTGATGTCTTCACATACAACTCCGTAGGATCCTGGAGTGCAGCATAGGTGGTGGAAATCCGGAATCTTAAATTTCTAAAGTTGTGCTATTTGAACTTAGGAAAGTAAAATGTATTGAGTAGACGATTATATCAGCTGGAGGTGTTCTTGATAAAATGATTAGCATTAGGTTGAGAAAGTAGTGACAGGAGAAGTTATCATCATTTCCCCTTACCTCATACCTTAAATTCTTATTCCCTCATTTCTATATTTGAAGTTCAGGGGCTATAATCCGCGCAACTAATGTCACAATTTTTTTGGCAATAGCTTTAGGAACAGTTAAGGTAATTCCTATTCTTCATTTAC